ATCTATCTATCTATCTATCTATCTATCTATCTATCTATCTATCTATCTATCTATCTATCTATCTATCTATCTACCTACCTACCTACCTACTCAGGGTCCTCCCTCAAATGTCATGTATATAAAGTAATCAAACCTTAGCCACAGCCATGGGTTGTGGGGGCCCCAACATTGAATTAGAAGAAGTAGTAACTGAATTTAAATTTCTTGGTGGTGAATCCTCTCAACCCCCACCCCCCACACCTCTAGCCTATTTTTTAATAAAGATTTATTTATGCATACAAGACGTTGGGCACAGGCCAGGTGTGGGGGGTGAGAGGATTCACAAGAGACAGAGTGGAGAGCAGAACAGGCAGATCTACTGAAGTACACTGCTGAGGGGTGCAGCAGGCGAGGTAAGAGAGGTCTGCTGCACCATGTGGGTCAGCTCCCTGGCCAGGGATCGAACTTGCAATTCAGTGGCTGCAGATTACTTTATAGTGCAAATTAGCCCCTTGTGCCATCAGGGAGGTCCCAAATAAACTTTTTTTTTATTTATTTTTTTAAAGATTTTATTTATTCATACAGAACTGGGGTACAGGCCAGAGAGGATTCACCAGATGTTGATGTTGGAGAACTATAGCAACCTGGCTTCTTTGGGCCGACGACCTTGCAAGCCTGACATAGTTTCCAGGGAGGAGTGTTCAGGAGAGCCATCGCCAGGAGGCAAGTCTCTCCTGCAACAAGAGGTTACAGGTATGTTGGACATAGCTGGCAGCTATATATAAAATTATATCTCACTTCTTGTACGCAGAGTTGTAAGATGGACTCACACATACTGACAATTTATATTGTATATATCTTTCCATAGTCAAACCTATATTGTGTTCTGAGTCATTGGATTTTCTAAAATATCCATTGATTTAACCTATTCTTGAATTCTCCCTCCCTCATTCACCTCCACTCTAGACCAATTGTCTGTCATCTCAGGCTGCGGTCATACTTTCTGACTGGTTTTACTGGCCACTCTTCTTGAAACTCCAACCCCATAATCTATTTCTCACTGGAACCAGAGAGAACTGACAAAAGTCCATTTCTGAGTTGATGTTATCTACTGTCTTAGTCTATGTAGGCCCCAACATTGAATTACCATAGACTAAATGGCTCATGAACAACAGCTATTCATCTTTCACAGGTCTGGTGAAAACCCACTTCTTGGTTCTTTGATGACTGATTTTTGAAATCTCACATGGTCAAAGGGTTGAGGGAGCTCTCTCAGGCCTCTTTTTTATAAAAGCACTGCCGTTTTGATCTAATTACCTCCCAATCACCATACTTCCTAATACCATCACCTTGAAGTTAAGGTTTCAACATATGAATTGAGAGAAAACATAAACATTCAGCCTATAGCATCTTCTAATAAAGTATCATTGGTACAAGGGAAAGACTTAAACACCAAGACTCAAAGCTTCAAGAAGCTTCATGATGTGCCCAATTTTCTCTCCTGGCTATCTCTCAACATATCTCCCACTCCCCTTTGGATCCTAGATACGCTGTCCATTTGCCATGCCTAGAAGGTAGCATAGGCTTCCAGCTTCTGGATTCCGGTCTGTGCTAGTTCCCTTTGTAACATCATCTCACCTGCCTTGCCCATTCCTTTCATCTAGTTACTCTTACTTTCCCTTTAGTTATCCGTGTAATGTCTCTGATTTGGGAAAACCATCCTTGGTATATGACCATTACAGACTGGATATAGATTCCACTCACCATGTTAGAATGACTTCAAAAGCTAATTCTGGTGTCTTTAAATGTTGCTTTATATGGAAAATAATTTGTAGATGTGAGTAATTTAATGATCTTGAGATAGGGAGATTATTTTGGATTTATCTGGTGAGCTCTATATGTAATCATAAGTTTCTTCATATGAGAGAACCAAAGGGAGATATGATACACACACAGAGGGAGAAGCTATGTGAAGACTGAGCGGGAAGATTTGAAGATGCCTTAATGATTGGAGTGGTGTGACCACAAGCCAAGGAGTGACAATAGCCTTCAGAAGCTGGAAAAGACATTAAGAAGATTCTCCTCTAGAGCCTCCTGGGGAACCCTGGCCGGTGATATTGATTTTGAACTTTTGGACTCTAAGTCTGAAAGAAAATAAATTTCTGATTTTTTTAAGTTACCAAATATGTGGTAAATTGTCATAGTAGTTTCAGGAAACTAAGGTATTCACATAGCAGGCATTACAGTTCATTATTATAATTTGGTGCTGTTTTTGGTTGATGTCTGTTTATGCCAACACCAAGATTTCTTAAGCTAGAATCTATGGGCTGCATAATCCAGAAGCTTCATTAATTCGAAGCTAAAAAAAATCACTCATTTATTTTTCACTAAATATTACTAAAATTTAGTTTCTCCTTATAGTAGCTACGTAGGCAAGTAGCCACAGTGGCACTGACTATACCAGGGGCTGTCACCAACAGAAATCATGAATATTTTCACAACAAAATTTTTGCAAGTTTCTCAGTATATTATATGTACTCATCACTACTTCAAAATGTGCTAGAATCATCACTGGATCTTCTATTAGATGCAATACTAAAGAAGCATATACAATATTATAATCACAAATGAGTTTTTCAAATATTTGGTAACTACTGCAATATAATTGGTTTCCTTCATGAGTATATTTATTTAATGTTTCATATATATTCTTCCGAGAAAGGGTCCAGAAACCTCACCAGTTGTCAAATGGATCTGTGGGCTGAACAATTAAGATCTCTACACTGGACTCCATTTCTAACAAGACAGAGATGCTTCCCTAACCATCATAACAGCCAGGATACCTAGAAGAATACTTTCTATATGGATAGTGTTTGATAAATATTTATTGAATGAATAAATAAATTAGTAAATGAGTCATCAGAAACCTGTTAAAACAGGACAGAGAAAGAAAATTCAGCACTAAAATCTAGTCTTTCTAATCAGAAGTCAACAGTTAGCAAAGAACAATCTAGAGCTTACTTCATACTGTAGTCAAAAGTAGATAGCGGTTTGCATTATCCATTGCTGTGTAAAAAACCACCCCTTACTTTGTAACATAAGCAACAGCCATTTAATTGTGATCATGAATTCTCAGGTTAGGATTTCAAACAGGGTACAACAGCTTATCCCTGTTCTACAATGTCCCTGCTCCACAGTGTGCCTGAAGGAGGAAGATTTGAATGACATGATGAATCCATGGCTGGGTTCTGGAATCATCTGGTGTTACCTTCACTTACCTGCCTAATACTGGGCCTGAGATGACGCAGTGGCTGGACTCTGCTGGGATGGTTGACCAGCGTGTCTATCTAAAGCCTTTCCTTGTGAGCTTCTGTCAGCACGACAGCTGGATTTTGAAGGGCAGCATCCTGACAGATAGTCTGCAGAGAAAAAGCATTTCAAGAGACATCCAGGAAGCCACATGGCATTTTACACCCAAGCCTCAGAAGCATACTTCCACCATATTCTATTGGGCCAAGTACTCCCCAGTTTGTGCAGATTCCAGGGGATGGGATCCAGACTGCCATTTGTAAGTAGGAGGACTGTGAGTGAATTTTAAATTAAAATTTTAAACCACCACAGCCAGGTTAGGGTATGAGGTGTCAAAGGTAAGTCATCCATGTATTTGATATCCTATTGGAACTTTTCTTGAATCAGCTGAATCTTCATCGAATGCAGATGAAGCTCTGGATGCTGGTATCGACTCAGTTCAGGAATGATTCATGTGATTGTTGCTGCCACATGCAGAGGATGAAATGGAAGGGAAGACAGCTGAAATATTAATCTATGGAGGCCTGTCTTTTCATGGTGTCTTATAAATTATACAGAGCGAGTCATTGGTTCTAAGTGGATTAGCTGCCCATCATGTAGGCAAGGTCATGGCCTGTGCTCTAGTTAAGGAAGTTTGTTTCCTTCCAGTTTAAATGATGATATATCTCAAGAAATTTTGAACTCATATGCAAGTAGGCAAATTTCTTATCATGAAACAAAATAATCGTCCCTTCTTGGAGGCAAAGTCATGGTTCCTTCAATTCCAACAGAAGGAAGTAGGAAGGGGAAACTAAACTAACATTTTAGATAGCTTCCATCTATAAGATTTAAATTTAACTAGCTTTCCAAATCCTTCTAGGAGCCTGGATTTAGTGACTTCATCATGGTCCATTCAGACCTTTGAAAGTTATTACATAATTAGCATAATGCTATTAGCGTAATGATGATTTTCATAATTACATGATCATTTATTATATTTGAAGATTTCCTTTAAATTTTTAGAGGAAACTTAACAGCAATTACCTCATTTTATCTTCATAATCACACCATAAGATGGGAACATCTAGTAAGTTCATCTTACAGATAAAGAAAATCAGGCACTGAGAGGCTTAACAAATTATCTTAGCCAGCAACGCTTTGGTAGACCAGACTCTAGAATCATCACTCCCAGCCTCCATCCCTGATAACCAGATAATCATAATTCTGCCATCATTTCCATGGCAGCTGAGTAATGGCCAACTCATGACGCTCCTGGATCCTCCCCAGAGATTACAGACCAGACAATGAGAAGGAGGCAGCTAGGATCAAAGTCTCTCAGGTCCTGTAAGCAGCCCTAAATCTTTTTTTTTTTTTTCACTTTAAGTAATTTAACTATTTTCTTATGTCATTATTCATTTTTGTACAATATTTGATTCCCCCCTCAGGTACATATCCCATATTTCTTTCACCCCATACCACCCCTGCACCATCACCACATTCTCTTGTGCTCTTCCCTCCTCTGTTTTGACCCCTCTCTCTCCCCTGCCCCTGCTGTATGCTTCAGATCGATGGTTGATTGGCAAGTTTTTTGTTTTTTCCTGACCCTTTGTTCGTTTTCCCTATATTCACCCTATAAGCGAGACTGTCTGATATTTTTCTTTTTTACTGCTGACTTATTTTGCTTAGCATAATCTCTTCCAGCCCCATTTATGTTGCTGCAGATGGCATGGGTTTATCTTTTTCCATCGCTAAGTAATATTCCATTGTGTATATGCACCACATCTTCTTGATCCAATCATCTGTTCTGGGACAGCTAAGTTGTCTCCATATGTTAGCTATTTTAAATAATGCTGCAATAAACATGAAAGTAAAGGCTTTCTTTTGAAATAATGATTTTTGTGTCCTGTACATACACTAAATCTTTTATAGTCTGTGGCTCTTCAGAGCTGCTTTAAAATGTAATAAAGTCAAACAGAAATAGTCTTTGCAGCAGTGGAACTTCCAGATGAAGTGTAACCTCAGATGTCTCCCCAAACACTACCCTTTGCAACTAACAATTATCCTGGAGCCAACGTCTTCAGAGGTCACCATCTGGTTGCTGCTACCACGACAGCTGTTTCTGTGGGTCATTTCAGTCCTTCTCTCTCTATCTACCCTCCATGACTTACCCATATTCTCTACTATTAATAAACATAGAGCCAGGGGTGCATTGATTAGTTTGACTCTACCAGGAACAAACAAAATCCAACCAACTCTGACTTGTAGAGTTTGCCAACTTCTCTGGTGTAAATACCTTCACCACAGCTGATTTCAAAGTACTAAAAGGATGGCCCTTGAACGTGGAGTTGGGGAAGAGATGTGCACCGTCCACTCCCATGGGCCAGTTCAGACAGTTCCAGTAAAACACTGACTGGTCCTTCCTCTTCTCCAATTTTTTGCTACTTTTGACTTCAGTTAACACTCAATCACTTTCTACCAAGATTTAGCCTTACCATTTCCTACTTACTTTCTACTCAGCAGCCAAAGAAATGATCCACATTCATAATCTGGCTATGTCTCCCTGTTGCTCGCGGTCCCTGTTCAGTTCCTTTGCCCTGCCCAAATCCTGAGAGCCACAGGAAGGCACTAAGTTCCTTCCAGGTCCAGGTCTAGAGTGGTACTTCTCAGTGCTGGCTGCATATTTGAATCACCAGAGAATGTTGTCTCCATTTAACATTTTATATTTTACTCATTATGGGATGAGTATGGAACATTAAGTTTGAGTTTTGAAAATAGTGCATTAGAAATTATTTGATCACTGACTTTTTGGTCCCCTTAAATATGGCACCAACCCAAGTATCTCACTGATTTCACTCTAGTTTCCCCCTTGCCATCTGGAGAATTTGTTTAAATCCCTATGTCAATGCAACAACCCACTCTTGTTACAATAGAAGGTGGGAACTGGGCATCAGTGTTCATGAATCTCCTTGGTTGCTTGTAATGCACAACCAGATTGAGGATTTCAGCCCAGCTTCCTGACTTCTTGGTATCACCTCTTGCTGTGCACTGCAGCATTTTTCAATCTAACAACCGTAAACTGCCAGGACACAGCAGGCCTGTTCATACCTCAGAGCACCTGTAGCTGCTGTCCCCTACACTCCCAACATTCTTGCTCCCTTTGCCACCTATTGAAGCATTGTTCCTCATTCCACACTTTCTCTCAGATGCCCCCTTGATAATCACCCCACTGTATTAGCAACAAACAGCCGCAAAAGGAGCAGTTTAGAGCACCACACAACACTTGTTTTATTTCCCAATGTCTACACTCGAGGAGTCCGGGCATGACTCAGCTGGATCCTGTCACTTCTGAGTCTCCCCTAAGACTACAACTGAGGTATCAAGCAGACCTGCAGGTTCACCCGGAAGCTCATCCCTCCTTCCCTCTATTCCTGCCATAAGCTGAAAACTTGACAGGGTGTTTACTGCCAGTCACTCGCCTCTTTTCTCTCAGCTTCTTTCTTGCCCTCCTGTGCTCTACCCTGTCTCACAGCTTTGGAACCCTGCAAAACAATGTCCGAGACTCCTCTGCCAGCTGGCTTCTGGGCGGGCTGTTCTGCTGCAATGAAGTAGTAGCGACTGGGAAAGGGAGGAGATAGAACAGTTTTCTTTTCTCTATCTATAATGGGATCTTTATCAGCAGTGGGTGGCTGGCTCCAGGCTCCAGCAGTTTAGGCGATTTCAGAGGCGTCTGGGGGGTACAGCAAATGCCCCAGCCATGGAAGCCCTGATCCTGCTGCCTGCTTGCTGCAGTGCCTCCTGCCTTCTGCTGTCCAGCCCCGTGGCGGGGGCTGTTTCTACAGCCGGTTACAAATGTCTGGGTGACCTCCCGTCACAGGTTGTGTGGTCTGGAAGCTGAGGCTGGCATGGAGTTTGGCCTCAGGGTATTAATTGAGGATTGACATCTGTGGAAGGGGCAGCAGGATCCGGTGGAATGAGAAGGGAAACTGTGATTCAAATTTGACCAAACTGCAGCCAACCCCCAGGGAGGCCTGCAGGATGTCGGCCCATCAGCGTTTGCTGGCAGAGGACCAAGACAGTGTTCCAGGGGGCTGTGGCATTGGACGAGTGCACCGCAACTGTTGGCTCTCCCCACACAGGGCGATCCTAGCCACCCGCGTGGCCACACGTTCCTTGAGGGAGATCCTGGAGGAAACACAATGGCGCCCACCACAAGTATCCTCGCACTGCTCAGCTAACACTTTTGTAGCCAATTCTATGTATGTATCCAGTTTCCTTTGTTTTGAAACACCTAGAGGCTTATGGTGTGTGGACTGTGCAGCGGTAGATACAGAATGCGTGTGCCAGGGATGTGGGTAGACACTCGGGACGGAAGCACTTCATTCCCAGAAGGAGGCCAGTGATGATGGTAGAAGGAGTCTCAGAAAGAGAAAGAAAGGCCAGAGGTGAGATTCCAGCATGCTCGCTCCCCTCACACACCTACAAGGGCCATACGTGAACAGGGCAGCAATGGAAGACACTAGAAAGATGGAGAGATTTGGGGCATTCAGCAGGGGCTGAATGTTGCTCCTTGCTCCCAAGGGAAAGCTGCAAGCCTCCCAGAGTGAGGCCCACACTCAGCGTGTGCTGGGGTGCTGTGGTCCCCTGGAGATGGCCATTATAAATTGAAAGAAGGAAAAGGGGTCCAGAAAGACTCCTGCCAGCCAGTCTGACCCCTTTACGAGCTGTCCCAGATGCTCCACCCAGTGACCAAGAGAGCCTGGAAAATGTGGTTTTGATTTGGCCGTATTGCCACCCCAAATAAAATAGCATTCTGTTTATCAGGAAGAAGGGGAGAATGGGTATTCGGTAGGCAATTAGCAGTCCTCACCACAGATGGCGATAGTAAATTGGCAAATTTTGAATATATTCTTTCTTGCCAAAATTAAAAGTTGACATCATTATGGCAGTCCCCTTGATTTTTAAAATATCGTATTGGCCTATGAAATCCAAAATCCAGACCCAGCGCTCTTAATCATTTTGTTGTATGAGCCTGGACCTGAATGCATGCTTCCGTGGTCAAAAATAAATAAATAAATAAAGTGAATGTGACAAATTCATCTAGATGGAATTGCTGATGAGAAAAGACTCTAGG